GATACACCCTGAGCCAACATCCAGCTCGTCCAGAAAGGGCGGCGGGGGGGGGGGGGAGGTCATTCCTTCCTGCCCCCATCAAAAGACTTCCTGGCTTTGAGAGGAAAAATCAACCCACCACAGGGGTCAGGAGTTCTCCAAGGCCGGTGCCTTCTAGCGTTTTTGGAGTACAACTTCCGTAATTCCCAGACTGCATGCCCAGGAGAGACCCAAGTTCAAGCCCTGGGCAGCCATACAGGGTAGAGAGAGACTCGGGACACATCAGCCATCCCGCCTGCCTCTCTCTGCCTAGCCTACCTTGCAGGATTGTTGTGAAGATTAATGGGTGGGGTAGAAAGCTATCTACCCTCCCGTGGCTTCTTGAGTAAGCTGAACTTCCCAAATCATTGCTCCCAGCATATTTTTCATTGGAAGTCCATTCCAGCTGAAGCAGTACTTTGCCTGCTGGCTTCATGAAAAAGGAAGTGTAAAAATATCTCAGATGGGACTGCATTGCCCAGAACTCGCGTTCCACCCCAAGAGGAAGCGCCTGGGAGCGTCTGGTGGGGCTTGTCACATTTCCATTCTGAGCTGGAAAGTCCCATAAACTTCTGCAATCAACATCCACTTTGGAAGGGCCACCTTTTTCGCTCGCTGCTTGACGGAGCGATGATCAAGAGCTTGCTGTTTGGCCAGAGGGCTGCACTTGACCTCTCCGCACCAGTCGCTGGAGAACCCAAGCTGGCTCTTCCCACTGGGCGAGCTGGTTGCTCATGGGGGGGACAGCCTGTTGGACTAAACAAGCCGCTGCTTTGAGCCTGCCTGACCAGGTAGAACAAAAATCCAGTGTGCAGATGCACAAAAGGGATGTGCACTCTGTGCATGCTCATTGACCTGTGCATGTGCATCATGAAAAGGCCCTGTGTCTTCAGACCCAACCTCCCCGCCCAGATGCAAAAGTTCAGGAGCAAAGCGCACCAGCTGGAGTCTCAGTGGCACTTACCTGTTCCAAGGTGCATCTGGACCTCAAAGAGCAGTCCGTGGTCCTGAGTCCTCTCTCCATAGCATCATAAAAATGAAAAAAACATCCTGGTGGATCAAGCCAGGGTCAGTGCTTGGTAGGGAAAGGATTCAGGGCTCTGGCAAACCAAAGGCTTCAGGTTACAGGTGTTAATTTATTTAATTACACTGGAGAGCCAGTGTGGCGTCGTGGTGAAGAGCGAGGGACTGGGACTCAGGCGATCTGGGTTCGAGTCCCCGCTTGGCCATGGAGCCCACTGGGGGACTTTGGGCCAGTCACAGGCTCTCGGCCCAACCTACCTCACAGGGTTGTCATTGTGGGGATAAGATGGAGGAGATGTAAGCTGCCTTGAGCCCTGTGTAGGAAAAAGGCAGGATATAAATCAATAAATCAATAATATATAAAGCCCTAAATGGTTTAGGACTGGAATTTTAACTGTTAACATTATTGGTTTTATCTGGCCAGGGCAGCTTATTTTATACTGTACTGCTGTATTTTAATTTTATATTTATATTTTAATTTATATTATAATTATTTTAACTTAATGATGTGAGCCGCCCCAAGGCTTCGGCGAATGGGGCGGCATAAAAATGTTTTAATAAATAAATAAATAAATATCTAAAGGGACACCTCCATCTGTACAAGCTTGCCCAGACCCTAAGATCTTCATCGGAGGGTCCTGCTTCAGGATGGTAGGAAGGCGGCTGTCCTGTGTAGGGCCTTTTGAGTCGTGGCATCCTATTTGTGGAATCATCTCCCGAGATGTGTGCCAGGTACCCTTTTTGTACACAGTTGGTGCCAGACACAGACTTTTTAATTTTTGGAGTATTTTAACCTTGACAGTTAAAAGTAGAATTTGATTTTTTCATTCTAATTTTAGGTTGGTATTTTAATTTATGCATTTTATAATTTCAATTGACATTTAAATATGAGATGTATCCAATCTGGCCACAGCTGGTGCTTCTGCTGATGGAATGGACGTTTTATTTATAGAATTTGTTAATGTTTCTGGATTTTTATGTTTTGTTTGACTGCCTTTCAATTGCTGTAAAGCATTCAGAGAGTCATGTGCCTATAATAACCGTCCGTAAAAGCTTGACATGAATAAACAAACAAATGACTATTTGCTCTAAAGTCTCTGTGTTTGCTTGTGTGTGTGCATGGAAATATACGTGTGTGCTTAAAAAGGGTGCAAGGACACGGGAGAGAACGGCATCTGATTTCGGAAGAAAACCTCAGGTGGAAAGATTCAAAGGGGTGGCAGAAAAGAAGAACATGCAGGCAAAAAGCCCGCCAATTCGGATGCCACTGAGATCTGGATCGTTAGCTGACTGAACTACCTTCGCTCAACCACTGGCCATGGATGGCAGCGGGAGCGGACACAGGGCCTCTGTTCCCATCTCTATCCATGGTACTGAACTATACCCCCAACAAGCTATGCCATCATGGACGCCTCCTGTAAAGCTCAGGAGAAAAGTCGCCTTGGATGAGGAGCTCCACTGATGCAGCGACGCAGCATCCTTGATGCATCCCCGGTGCAGGTTTGGCACGGTGGATTAGCTCCTACAAAAGTGGATGGCTCAGGGCAAAAGTCTCCATGGATAAGGAACCTTGTTGACAGCCGTGGGCCTTCCCTGGCGATTCGCCTTCCAAATGTGCTCGGAGACCTGAGTCTGGGTACCTTTGTGAGTCCTCCTGCTGTGGACCACCAGTGCGGGACCCCAGACCACTGCCCCAAAGCCCTACCTTGGTGGTACCCAAAGGTACCTGCAGTCCATCAGTTTCAGCCCCGATGGTTCCTGTCTACCCCAAAGCAAGACTGGAGTAATGAGGTGCCCAGTGGGAGAGGGGTGAGAAAAAGCACACACATTTCAGTGTGAGAGATCCTACCAGCGATTCCCGGTTTGCAGCCCTCCGTGGGTTGAGCTACCCCTGTGTGGGGGTTTAGAATAACCTCGGAACTAGTCAGGGATACTCAGCATGGCTAGTTCCTGAATAAGGACAACCTGCTGAAACAGCACCATGCACAGGCCAGCAGGGGTCAAACGACCCCTAAAACAAGCCCTAGACAGTTGGGCTGGCTTGAGCGGACTTGCACGCTTGTGCAATTGTCTAAGATCACGAATCGCTATCTTTAAATGCTGACCCTATTTGTGCAAATGTCAAGATCTCGCTGCCTCCCACGCGCTTACTGATGCCATAAAAAACTGAGTCAACACCGGCCGTATTTGGGGGGAATCTGCAGGGCTGAAAAAAACATCATTGAGGCTTCAGCTTCCCTTGTGAAATCGTCTTCCATCCCTAATGGGTACATTTGCAGACTTGTTTTTGGCACGTTTATTTTTCAAACGTTGAACGAAAACAGCCGCTCGAGTCTTCTGTTCTCCCCGTTGTTTGTCTGATGGCTTCAGAGATGTCTGGCAAGGATGAGAGAAGCCACACGCCTTGAACTGCAAAGTGTTTTTGGCCATTAGAGTGCCTTGGAAGTTAAATATTACTGTGGGAGACAGTATTTTATTTGCAAGGTGAAAAAACTAAGATGCTGAGCTCTTTCCACTTTCCTTTCCCTTCAGCTGAAGTTAGCTTCCCCTGAGCTCCTGAACGACAGCCAGGAAAGATGGAAACTTGTGGATATTAGTATCCATAATGGCAATTTATCAAAAGATAACTTCTTCTGTAGCCTCCGGGGTAATAAAGAAGAGAAGATTTGGTGCTGGGTTCTTTTCAAACTGGGAAAGAACTAATATAACTGGGACTAAGCCAAAACAGGGAACATTTTGTCTGAACAATCTCCTTCTCTGAGAAATATTCACCCATTTAGAGGGAGGGCAAAGAGAATTCCCTTCACTCCGATTTGGTTGTGACACTGCCACTTAGCCAGATCTGGCTAGATCATCTGGAAGGCTATTTCCAACAAGGACAGTAAATTTCCAGGATTCGCTGTTGTGGTTTGTTGTTGTTGCTTTGTGTGTGATTTGCATTAGCACTGAAGGAATAAGTGAAAATAAATATATGCTGGTAGTTATATCCTTTTTTTGCTTGCACTTCCAGGAAGCAACATTTTAAAAAAGACAGCTCAAGAGTCAAAGGCTATTGTAGCCATTTTTAAAAACAGCAAGCCAGCAAACAAGCCATATCCTTTGGGTATTGTCTTCACTGCTGTGAAGATATGCTTAAGCTGTGGTTGCATGATAAGAACATCCCACTGGAATCAGAGGGCCCAGGTCAAAATTTAGGAGCTGTTAATGAGTCCTTAGGGGACTGCAGGTGGCGCAGTGGTTTAAACCGCTGTGCTGCTGGGCTGGTTGATCAAAAGGTCTCCGGTTCGAACCTGCACAACGGGGGGAGTTCCCGTTGCTCCGTCCCAGCTCCTGCCAACCTTGCAGTTCGAAAGCATGCAAATGCAGGTAGATAAAAAGGTACCGCTTCGGTGGGCAGGTAACAGCATTCTGTGCACTTTGGTGTTCAGTCATGCCGGCCACACGACCACGGAGACCGTCTGCGGACAAACGCTGGCTCCCTCGGCCAGGAAACGGGGATGAGCACCGCCCCCTAGAGTCAGGCGTGACTGGACGTCACGTCAAGGGGAAACCTTTACCTTTACCTTTACCTAATGAGTCCTTTATCAATGCATCTATTTCCAAGCCCAATTCAAAGCACCGACTTTGGCCTGTGCAGCCGTACATGGCTCAGAACTTCTCCCAATACAACTTTACCCTATACGGTGCTCATTATTTAAGCCCGCACCCAGATAAATCCTTCAAGGGAGGGTTGGAGGTGGCAATAAGAGTTAGGGCTCTCTCAGTAGTGGCCCCCCAATTGTGGAATGAGATAACTTTCTTCCCTCTCCAACACCAGGTTAAGACCTTCTTCTCTCAGGCATATGATAGCAAATGATGAAGTGCTAGCCTGGCCTTGAATTTTTCTTGTTGTACAGCGTTTGGAATTGATTTAATGCATCCCTCTCTTTGCATTCTACATGTATATGAACGAATGCAGATGGTTTTTACATGCATTTTAATAGCGATCATCTTTGTAGACTTCCCTTCAGCTCTTGGGCAATATAAAAATATAATCAATGACATGAAACAGAATGATTATTAAGTCACTCAAGACACCTTCGGCTCAAACTCATTTAAGGTGGCCATTCAGCTCCTCGGTACTGGTTCTGGTCTATTCAAGAGTCTCGGGGATTTCATTTCTATAATTTAATGGAATCAGTAAATTTCCCAACTGTGCCACAAAAGAAACAAATTCGAAAAAGGGACTCCAATGATTCCATGATACCTACACATGGAAGAGCCTTATTCTGCCTTTTCATGCCTGGCCTGGCATAATATCTTGTCTGAGGTTGCTCAGGAAGCTTCAGAAAATTAGCCACTGCAGTTCCTGCTGCAAAGTGGGGGAACCCGGTGCAGATGCCCAGCTCTGAGGTCAGAGCACATCTGAACAAATGTGTGGCCACCTAGCATTGTTAAGAGACTGTCGGACTGTGGCAATCTCCCAGTGCCCTTTCTGAATGGATCTAAACCCTTTTTTCAGAACCTGGGCTCAGTTCCTCAAGTGGTCATGAGTTCCACAAGCACATTCCCTCCTCTGTCTCCCTCTGAACTGATGCAGCATTACTAAAAAGGACCAGTGTGGAAAAACAGTTGTCTCTACCTCACCGATGGCATCACGCCAGGCTGAAAGCGAGATGAAGGCAGACAGTCCAAATGGATCCAATTTTTCCCCTTGACAGGTGCATTTCTTCTGCATTACCAAGAGTCTGGATTATTATGATTCTAAATTAAACAGGCCGGGTGCCTTTTGTACATTTCTCCTCCACAGTTTACATTTCGGCCTGGAACGGCTGGCTTTTGAGTAGCATTTAAAATGACATTATTCATTCCTGCTCTTGGTCCTAGCCCAGCTCCATTTCTTTGTCTGTCTCTCTGTGTGGTGTGTGTGTGTGTGTGTGTTTGGGAAAGGCTCAAGGTAACCCTTCCATCCACAGGTCCCCATCCATCATGCCTGACTCACGAAATGTCACCACAGACGGGCCCTTGGCCAACCTGAAGAGCTGCAAGGGAGAGACAATTAATCTCCTCTCCAAACTTTCCATCTCGGTGCCTTGGATGGCGCTTGCAGCAGCAGCTCAGGTTTGCAGATTTCACTGGCTCTCCTGCACCCTGGGCATTTCTGTGCAGGCCACCTCGAAGCAACAGCTGGCTCTCTTCGCCCCCGGTCTGGCTGCACAGAAACCCCCAAACTTGCGGTCCAATGTGCATCCCAGCCTTTGCTGTTCTTCATGCCCTGATTCTTACATACATGCCATCTTTAGCATCTCCATGAAGCTCCGGGGAGGGGAGAAAAAGGAGATACGAGCACTGATAGAAACCGGCATCCATGCTCCAGTCTCTGGCAGTCCCCTTTCCCTCCCCTCCAAGATGCCTTTGCGGCTCGAGACAGGCAAACAAAGTTCTTTTCATGCTTGTGGGGTCCAAAAAAGGCCGGTGGGGTTTGGCTTTCAGGAGCCTAGCTCCAAATTCGCAGGATCTCTGAGCTGGGGCTCCAAAATTCCAGCGCCCACCATCTCTCATCATCTCCAGAGTGCCCCCTGGTTATTTTGCGTGGCAGGAGGTATGCGTTGGCATCCTTCGGCTCTGTAATCTCCCCGTCGAGCGTAGGAGGCATGTAATTCTCTCGGTTCACAAAGTGCCAGCCAGACATTCCGGTAGGATAGTGTCCCCGCTGTATTTTAAATCCCTGCCTTGCTTCTCATTTTGTTTTGGGCTCATGTTTCTGTTACATCCTGTAGCTGTAAACCTTTAAACTTCTATATTGTGTCTTGAAGCATGTTTTATGGTTTTAATTGTTGCGAACCGGCCTGAGAGCAATGTCTGTCAGGAGGGATGGAGCTGTAAGAGATACGATTTTAAAAAATAAGATAAAAAGTCATATAGGAATACCCAAAGAGCAAATTTGTCAAACATTGCTTGTCCGACAGCTTCTCCTCAGTGGTTAAGGCTTCCGACGTAGAACGTGCAGAACACGTAAATGTCGCGAGAAGGAGCACATGCATTAATGAAAACTCTGCAGGCATTGGGGTTGATGAGTCCTCCTTTTCCTCAGAGCAGCCCTTCACTAACAGAGCCATTAGCAACTTCGAGGCGCATGTAATTAGCAGGCAGTGGGTGTATTTCTGCCATTAATTTCCCTGTTATTACGGGGGAGGTTGTGTCATCCCTTCCAGAAGTCTTCTTAAACTCCGGCTTTATTTTTAAAGAATTGCCGCCCCATCTAATTTTCTGTGTGCCGCATAATCCTTGCATCTCTTGAACCCCAAGCTCTGGGTTTCCTCGATTGATTTGGTTGCTTGCCCAGCTGAAGTCTCTGAAATAGCATCCTACAAAGGGTTGTGTTTGGTCAAGAACAATGTTTAGCCTGATTGGGTCACATGCGCCACGGAAGAGGAGAGTCGTCACTTGCACAGCATAAAAAGACTACCCTGCATTGTCTATTCTACTCTGCTTTTCTGCATTGTCAAAAAGCGGACCAAGGGGGTTATGGATTTGATGACATTTGCATATGTTAAATTATCATTTCTTTTTGGAAGTGATCTTACCGTGCTCTTCAGTGAAGGCTTCCAGAGCACTTTAGGGAGAGCAGAAATGAGATAATCCCTGTATGAAACCTAAAAGGCACAGCACAAAAGGAAGGAGGAGTAGGAGGGAGAAGGAAAACAGCAACTTCAGGCACTAGATTTTTAGCAGTAAAGTTCATTAGGCCTTGGAGGCATGAGGCATGCTGGGAAACACAGGCATAAGGCACGCTGGGAGACCTGAACACAGGCATGAGGCATGCTGGGAATCAAACTGTTGTTATTATACATTTTCCATACCACCCCATAGCTGAATCTTTCTGGGCAGTTTACAACAGTGGATAAAACAACACAATAAAATATAATACAAATATCATTCAAAATGTTAAAATGCTAGGATAGTTTTCTGTCTAAATAACATAGAAACAGAGCGAGTCAGAAGGGACCTCCTGGGCCATCTAGTCTGACCCCCAGCTCCATCCGGTTCCGCTCATGACATGCCCACCATGTGCACGTCTAGCCAATCCTTGAACACCCGCACTGATGGGGCCTCAACGCCCTCTTGTGAAAGCCCATTCCACACCCTCGGGGTCCCGACTGTCAGGAATTGCTTCCTGGCATCCAAATTGGACCTTGGCTCCCTGAGCTTTGCTCCGTTGGAGCGCGTCCTGCCTTCCTCTGCAGGGGAGAACAGGTCTCTCCCCACCTCCGTGTGACACCCCCTCACATACCTGCATGTCGCCAACAGATCCCCTCTGAGTCTCCTCTTCTCCAGGCTGAAGAGACCCAGTTCCCTCAGTCTCGCCTCATATGGCATCCCCTGCAAACCGGCCACCAACCTTGTGGCCCTGCGCTGCACTGACTCCAAACTGGCTATATCCTTCCTGTAATGAGGGGCCCAAAACTGAGCACAATACTCCAGTTGCAGGTGCACCAGAGCCGTGTAGAGTGGCAGTAATAATAATAAGCATAGGAATGCTTCCTCATAGACGGATTGATATAATCAGATCTCTATATAGTTTGCTGCAGTTCTTTACCTTTAGATCAGGTTCGGCATTCACAGTCCTTTGGATGGAGAGCACCTTCCACAGACGGATTCGCCTTTGGCATTCCTTCCAAGTGAGGGCTGTTTCCTAAAAAGTAGGACACATGGCCACCGTATTTAAAAAAGCAAAAATACAAGAACTTTAAGACAGACTGACATTGATCACATTACCTGAAGGAGCGCTTACGTCCATATATGCCCGCCCGCCCCTTGAGATCAGCGGGAGAGGCCCTTCTCCGGGAACCCTCCATGAGAGACATCAGGAGGCAAAGTACCCGGAGGAGGGCCTTCTCTGCGGTGGTGCCCCATCTGTGGAATGCGCTCCCCAGAGAGGTCCGCCTGGTGCTGTCGCTATTTGTTTTTCGGCGCCAGGCGAAGACGTTTTTATTCAAATGTCATTTTAATTGTTAATAGTATTTATTCATTTTATTCTTTGGCCAGGGCGACTTAATTTATACTGTTAATTTATATTAATTTAAGGAAGTTTATTCATGGATGTGAGCCGCCCCAAGGCTTCGGCGAATGGGGTGGCATAGAAGTCTCACAAATAAATAAATAAATAAATAAATAAATAAATAAATAAAGTTTGCAAGCTTGCTAGTGGGGAGAATCCAGTCCTCTGCCTTTGAAGAGCCACGATCTGGTCATTATATGTTTTTCGGCGCCAGGTTAAGACCTTTTTATTTAATCAATATTTCAATAAGTTTTAATATTGAATTTTATCATCATATTTTAATTGCAGCCAGAGTGGGTCATTAATTAATTTATGTTATATTAGATATTTGTATTTTATTTCAAGCTGTCCTGAGGCTCTTGCAAAGGACGGCATACAACTATCCTAAATAAATAAATAAATGATGGTTCATAATTCGCATTTATGTTAATAAAGGGGCTTTTCTTCCCCTTGCAAAGAAACCCAGCGTGGCTCCATCTCATCCTCGTAACAGCGACCCGGTGAGATGAGTTCGGCTGAGTTTGTGGCTGGTCCAAAGACACCCCGAATTATCCCCCATAGCAGTTAACAAGTGCTGCCGCCCACCCTTGGGTTCCTCGGGGGCTTTTTCTCCCTGGCGACGGGCCATTCTTCTCTGGATCTGCCTCCCTGATGCTGAAGGCTGCGTCTCTAAGCAGCTCTGGGAGAAACGCGGAATGAACTTTTGGTCTGGTAAATATTTAGAGAAAAGCGGGCAGCCCACGCTTAGGTGGAAGCTTTCTTCCTCTGCGGTCTTACATCTTCGTGTGTCTTTATCAAGGCTTCCTCTCCTTGGTCTCACGGCCGAACAAGACAAAGCTTCCTTTGAGATTCCGGCCAAGGCAGCGAGCGCTGCATTACTGTAGCAAAAAGCCCCATCGCTTCTCCACCCGAGCATACCCGAAGCTTCGTCACTCCGAGCGGGTGGGTGGAATAGGTCATTCGCTTCGCTGCTCTTTCCTTTTGGGGCAAAAAAACCGGCTCAAAGAACAACAGATGCTTATATGCAAGAGAAGCACAGATTGTCTGGCTTTTTCCTTGTGGGGGGAACAGACCAAAAATGGCAAATACTTTCTCCACTCCAGCCGGGACGAAGTTTCTTTGGAAAGTTAGCAAGAGAAGGGCAATGGACTGGTAGAAGGACTGTGCCAAATGATGAGCCAAATAGGGCAAAACAATTTGAATTTGTGCGATGATTTACGGATTTTTATGTCTCACATTCATTAATTTCACTGGGGTGCTTTATGGCAGAAAGGTCAAACGGATTGGATCTAGAGTGGTCCTATGCCGATTAAAGAGTGCCCAACCAAAAAGACTTCTGAAGTGGGTTAAATACAAGCTAAATATTTATGGTTCATGGCCAGCCATTTCTGAAATTTCTGTATAACTGCTTCTGTGGATAATTGTCATCTGTTTACAAATATTTATGAGCATATATTTGGTATGCATGTCTTGCAAGCAATTCATTTGTTTTCTATAAGAAAATTGTATTCCCCCTTTTGTTTTGGTGACGTTTGCATTAAAAATATATAGAAACTGTAAAACAGAAACAAGAAGCAATCCTGCTACTGTACAAAGGCACAACTCGCAAAGAGGAAGGGATGGGGAGGGTAGAGGAAAGCTACAGACTAGGCCTCACCTGCCTTTTTCTCTTTCCTCAGGCCAGGCTGCTGGAATAGAAGCCAGAATCTATCTGCTGACAACCTGGGTGGAGCTCCGTAACATGTGGCTTGGCAGCTCTGCAAGTCAGCCATTGACCCAAATGTTGGACTAGCAAGACAAGGCGGTGCGGAGGATATGCAGGGCAGGTCTTGCCCAAACCTAAAGCCTTGACCTCAAATGCCCCCACAGCCTGAGCTGCAGGCACTCGGAAACCTTGGCTCCGACTTTCTGGGTTGGTTTGAGCTCCCGGCTGTGATTGAGTGGTGATGGAGGCCCTGAGATTCACCTGGCCCGTGTGTCTGCCGTTTGTTTATTTCAACAGGCACGTTTCTGAGTCAAGATTCCCCTGCAGGCCTCTGGCATCATGCGGTTTTCCATGACTCTACATGCTGAAGCCGTGTCAGGTGGGTGGGACGGAGAGGACCCCCTGGTCCAGGTAGGTTTGCAGAAAACATGGAGGGAATGTCCCAGGTTTCTGAGCTCTTGCGAGGGTCCTCTTTCACAGAGAGTCAGCCCGCTGTTTGATGGGCTATCTAGTCCAAATCTGCATGAAAGATGTAAAAAGTGGCTACTTTGTCCTTCTCCCAGGATGTGCATCAGAAGTGGCGATGTTTGTGTGGCTCCATGCCAGGGGTAGCTTCAGTGTAAATAAAAATTCTTTGCATATTTTGCAACAGATTTTCCAGCAGCTGAGGCATCGGTTTACATTCCTAGGGCCCGGTGCTGAAAATATTTGCTCGGAAAACCTACAGCTCTGCCAAGATGTAAAACGATTGTCAGGAAACGCTTCCTTCCTGCTAGTTAAGTGACTGTTAAATGACTGGCAGCATCATAGTTGGGCAGATGTTCACAGCCTCAAGAATGAAGAGAGCGTCCCAGAACTATGTTCTGTGTGCCTGATTTTAATTTTCACCAAGCCTTTTCACAAAGATTCTGGTGCAGTTAGGAGACAAGCCCGGGGAAGTCAAACCAGGGCCTGCAGGATGTGCAGCAATCCCTGGTTGAAACGTGGCATTGGAAGGATGAAGCCCAATTAACATGGGGCGGGGGGAGTTTCTGGGGTTTATTGCATTTTCTGGCGTGGCTGTGCTGATGTACCACTTCTGCAGATGCTTGACTGAATGGCACAAGGAGCTTCTAAGCAAATTGCTAGCATGCCGTGAGAAAGAAATCTGGCTAGCTGAAAACACCTCTGGCCCTCGGCTTTTTGGTGCCACATGGAAAAGATGTGCTGGTGGCCACCATGAGCTTCAGAAGGTGCTTGTTCGGCATCAGCCCCAGATAGATCCAAGCCCCGGCCAAGAGGTGGTCCTGTCGCGGCACTCCAAATGCTGCTCGAGTTCACTCGTGCTGTACTTTTCCCACAGTGCTCTGTGCCGATACGATGCTAGGGCCACTGGGAGAAGTCACGGGTTCAAGGCCCAGGTAGGGTGGCCTTGGGTCCTCTTTTGGAGAGGACTGTCCTCGGTTTGAAGGCACCTTCTGTCTGGCAGCCGCCCAGTCCGATTCTGGTTTAAAGACTAAGAACCGTATGAAAGAAACAGGAACAGATGGTTGTGGAGTCGTGTTTAGTGTGTTGGACTGCAGCCCAAGAGACCTGGGTTCAAGTCTGCACTTGGCAATGCGCCTCACGGGCTGGTCGCCAACTCGCGGCCTAACCAGCCCCCCAGGGATGTTGTAGGGGCAAAATGTGTGCAGGCTGCCTTGGAAAGGGGGATTTAAACAGAAGAAATGCATGGGAAAAAAGTGGTGCTAATAAACAATCTTTTTGCTAAGGTGAGTTTCCCTGTGTCTCTCTCTAAATTACAATTTTTATATTCGCATTTGCAAACAGATGTGCAAATTCAAGTTTCATGCAATTTGTGACCTCTTCTATTTTTGGTGGTTTTCATCCATTTCTGGATATCCGGTGGAGGGGGAGATCCTAGAACCCTATAATCATAAATCGTAGAGTTGGAAGGGGCCAGAAGGCCATCAGGTCCCACCCGCTGCTACTGAGGGACACCAAGACGCGCTATCCCACTGCCAAGCGACAAATAAGGAAATTCCAGTGCAGGAAGCTTCTCCAAATATTTCCTGTCCCTGTACAGAAGAATGAAACGAGCATATTCGATGATCCACAAAGAGCTGCACGAGCGACAAGGAAACCGCCTTGGCTCTTCTGGTGACCTCCACCATCCGGCGTTTGTCCGCAAGATCCCTGACATGTTTGAAGCAAGCTTTGTTTCCTCCGTTGATTTATTTGTTATAGCCAAGGAGTGCAGTGGTGGAGTTGGGGGAACGCAACGTTCTTCTTGCTGGAAGGTCGCAATTTGCTGATTTCGTATCTTCAGGGTCAAAAAGAGAAGCTGCATCTGGGATTTTTCTAGCCCCTTGGGTAAATATTGAATCTGGCTAGCGTTTGGAAAACACTGGGAGAGACATCAAAGGTTCATACTGTTTACTCAGCCAAACTGGGAGAAGAGCCGTTTGTTTTTGTTTTTTGAGTGGGGGCTTGGGGCTTTTTTATTATTTTTTGGCCCATCTTAAGAAGCAGCTCTCTCCAGTCCTGGGAAGTAAAAATCCTTATTTGTCTATTATAACAGAACACCCGAGCCTGAGGAAAGATGGCGGCTTCTGGCCCATTGTATCTGCTGTGCCTATCCTTGGAAGACTCGCCACAATTTATTTTCCACATATATGGTCCCAGCTGAACCAGGAAACTTTCGTGATCCTTCAAGAGGTCGATTATGCACTGACAAAGAAGAGAGGCAATGGATCCGTAAAAACAGAGGACTGGGTCTGCTAACTTGTAGGTGGAGATACAAATCTAGGAATTATGACTGCACTTGAAATAGAAAGAGCCCTTCCCACCAACAGAGAACTCTGTTCTTGCCTGGCGGCCTGCTAAATATGGATGTGCTGAGGAGAGATGCACAGACCCCGGTTGCCATGCCGATGATTCCATTATCCAC